TAAATATTTTAGAAGTATTCAAATGTAATATAAACAAGATAAAATCCAATCCACATCGTCTCTATAAAAACCAGTACAATAAGGTTTTTATTCAATAACCCAAATTTGAACATTTGTTCGTTTTTTTGAATTAAATAACAATTTTCTTCCCAACAAACAATTCCATTTTCCAATGGTACAATTATTTCAAAATGTGTTAATTTTGATATTATTATTTCACATATTTTTATTGTTGAAGGAATTACAAATGACGAAGTTGTATAATTTTCACCACTTAACAATTCCGTTTGTGTCTTTATTTCGGAAAGTACATTTTGTATTGATTCCAATAGTTCGAAATTTGGTGTTTGAAGTTCACTTTTTGTTTTTTCTTTATTAAGTACAATCTCAAGCCCTTCTCTTTTTTTAATATACTTTTTAACATTAAAAACACTGTATTGAAACGGGTTTCTACTCTATTCACAAACTTGCTGTTAAAAAAATCAATTTTGAACTCCTTTTTTCTTTCCTTGTCTTCATTACAATCTAAATGATCGTTAATTGAAGGAACAATTTTTCTTTTGAGTGATTTATCCAAACATTCATATTGCAATTCTTCAAATGCCTCTTTTTTGTTGTTGAAATATGCTACAATTTTGTCGCATTTAGATATTTCTATATTTAATTTATTTACTATTTTAAAGGCTGTCTTTAAGCAAGTTTGAAAAGCGTGGGCATTGCAATCTAATCTACAACATGTTTTATTTATTTGTTCCTCCATTGTTGTATTCTCTTGTCTTTCTCCAGATTTATTGTTAAATGCACACACCATATTTGCTCCTCGATCAGTCACCACAACAAAATTTTCAATTTCGTTTTCATTGTGTATTATTTCATAATTCATCAGCGTCTCAACAAAGGCTTTTTTAATCGCTTTCCCCGTTACTGGTCTTTCTATTGTAGGACTTGATAGAAAAACACATTGTTCTTCTCCAGAACGATCCAGATATTGGCACATAATTGATATTGTTTCTCCGTATAATGTCCCCGAAAATGTTCTTCCATCTAAAGTGAATGAAAGACTGGAAATTCTGTTTTAAGCTTTTCCTTGATTATTTCAACAGTTTCATTTTTCAATTTTATTATTTCTTTTTTCAATAATTCCACTCCAGGTGGACAATATTTACCATTAGAAATTGTAGAACAAAAATCTTTAAAAAGGGGATCGGCGACAGTCGAAAGAGGCAATTTTTTTCCAATTACAAATTTAATAAGTGAACGTGTAATTTTAATTTTATTTTCTTCGTTTTTTGATCTTTTAAATTTGTTGAGTTTTTTTTCAGGAATAAAGTTTTATAATGTTTGTACAGATCGGGATGGACATCTCTTAAATGTTGTACAAGAGGAAAATTGTAAAGTCTTGTGCCTTTACGAGTTAGTTCAATTATTTCAGAACAATATTTACAAGTGTATTTTTCGTTGTCGTTTTCGAAATAAAATGATATTTTCGACGTACTTCTTTTCTTTGTTTTTAACTTGAACATCAATATTGATTTTTTAGATATTATATTTTATTGTATTTATACACTCATAAACATGTTTTTTATACATAATTATTGTTAAATATTCCTCTTTAAGAATTTTACACATTTTTACAATAAAAAAGTTTTGCCAATTGTTGAGTTTTTGTACAAAATTAATAAAATTTTAAAATTGTTTTTTTTCCAAAACATGGTTATAATGTTTTACCATAAAATTGTACAACAACACCAATTTTCAAAATCATTAAAATAAAACAATATTCAAAGAACTTTTATAGTTCTATTTGGTGAAACGATTTCACCAAATAATTTACTAAAACATAAATTTTCAGTTAAATTATTTCACCATTTTACTTCATCCCTAATTAATTCACATTAAGTAAGTAAGTGATATTATTTATATTAACACTTTAAATAACATTGAACAAAATTCAAGTGGTCCAAAAATCGGGAAATTTTGAGTTTATTAAATAAATTTCCGTTTTTTAGAGTTTATATTATCTGCATAAACAATACACAAGCCAAAAACGGAAAATCATCAAAAAATGAATTAATTTTCCTGAAAAAACAGGACTAAACAAAAAAGGTGTTATTATTAATATTAATAGGTCACATAAATAAATTAAATTGTGGTACATTTTTTTAAATCCAATTTTCTTCTTACTACACAGATTGAAAAAAATTTCCCACTTCAATAAAATGGGAGACAAGAAAAATAATATATTTGGTTGATTAAATATAAAATAATTGTACTTGTAAACTAAAAAAAGAAATTCGGAAGTGGGTTATTTTTTAAATTTGGTTAATTAATCGGGAAAAGTATTCTAAATTATTTATACATAAAATTAAACGTTTTTGGGTTTTTTGACTTATTATTGATTAATAGTGGCACAGAAATAGACTAGAATAATTAACATAAATAAAATTTGCCTGTACTTTTTAAACAAAACAACACGAGAAATTTTTATTTTAATTCTCTTCTTATTATTGTGTCAAAACTGTTGGCATATATGAATATTATAAACCCAAAACAATTTAACATTTTAAAAACAAAGAAGTTTATTATAACACAACCTAATATTAACTATAATTATTGTATTAAAAAACTGTTGTATCTAAGTATTTTATTTATTAAACACCTTAACAAAATAAAATTTTAATTTCACTTTTTGAAATCACTATAAATTGTTGTACTCTTAACTAAATATGACAATGGAAAAGGATGAACTTATCGCTAATGCTTTAAAAGCTGGTAGGCACTACAAAGAAATTCAAACACTATTCAAAACTTCTCCAAAAAGAATTTCAAGAATTAAAAAATGCATTGAAGAACATAAAAATGTTATTCCAATAAAAAGAGGAAGAAAAAGTTTATCAAATATAATAAATATTGAAATATCCAAAATAACATACAACAAACCCTTTTCATCGTGTTTTGAAGTAGGAAAAATTGTCGGCTGTTCAAAAACAACCGCAGATAAAATAAGAAAAAATAATCATTTTAGATATTGCAAACAAATATCCACACAAGTTTTGACTCAAAAACAAATAAAAGACAGATGGGTATTTTCCAAAAAACAACTTTGGAATAAAAATATTAAAAAATGGGAAAAAACAATAATAAGTGATGAAAGTCGGTTTGGGTTGTATCCAGACAAAAAGTGGTGTTGGAGACCAAAATCATTTTTAGCAAATCTACGCGAATTTAACAAAAGAAAAGGCAACAGAAAAGTTCCCAAAGCCATCAAAGAACATTTTTCTCAAACTCCCAAACACAACTGTTCAATAATGGTATGGGGAGCTATCGGGGTCGGATACAAGAGTAAATTAATACGTTGTTCACAAAAAGAGGGAGGAAAAGAATATATTGAATTACTCGAAAATAGTCATTTTTTCGAAGATGTTAGAAAGAAACTAAACAACAACATTGTGCATTTTCAACAAGATGGTGCTCCTGCCCATCGCTCACTTACAACTAAAAAATATTTACAATCAAAGGGTGTAAGGCTGATGTTATGGCCATCAAATTCTCCAGATCTATCCCCAATAGAACATTTATGGGGAATTATGGATAGAAAGTTAAGAAAAAACTACCCGGTTATTAAAACAGAAAAGAGATTGTTTTTTTATTGAGAAAGATTTGGAATGAAATTCCACAATCATTAGTCGACAAATTGATGTTTTCAATTAAAACACGTTTTGAATTGTGTGTGAGTCAAAAAGGAGGTCCAATTGGCCATTTATCAAATTTCAAACAATTTGAAAAAATGGAAAAAAATCCAGTGTTTTAAAAATAAAACCTTAGGAGTTTGAACCTTATTATTAATGAAAAATTTGTTTATTGTAATTGGTTATTAATTGAAAAAAATAATTCGGAAGCCATATAAAAATAGAACAGCACGTTTTCCTGTATATTTTTAGTAAAACATACCTTTCAAAAAAATGTACACTTCCTAAAAAACGGAACCAGTTTATATATCATGTATTATTTTAATAAACAAAAAGAGAAATGAATATACATAAATCTTTCAATTATTTAATAAATAAAACTGTTAAATAACAAAATACAGTCAACAGAAAGGTAGTAATTTGTAATTATTTTTTTATTGTCTTATTTGTTTAAAACTTTTTAATTTACAAAATTTCTGTTAAGTTTACACACCAATAAATTTAACATTTCAAAACAAAACAAATTTAATTACGATTTTAAAAGCAAAATAATACAACAATAAATAGTCTAAAGACTATTCTCAAAGCATTACTCCTCATATTATTGTTTTTTGTTAACACACACCTTCCCATAGTTGTACACATATAGCCTTCATTACAACGACCACAAATAGGTTCACACCCACTTTTCCATTTTCTTGTTCCAACGTCGAGTGAGTTATTATCTACAGTACATTCCGTGTTATCGCAGTCAAACGATTTTTCGTCGCATTGGTGCATTTTTTGAATTTCTTGGACATTATCAAATGATGAATTTTTGAGTATTAAAATATCTCCCGTCTTACTTTTGTATCGAATTAAAAGTCCATTAGTAAACTCTTTGCAGGTCTTATCCATTGCAATAAACAGAGACACCGTGTTCTTGTCTTGAATATATTTATATGTGAGGTTTTCTCTAACAAGTATTGCTCCGTCTTGACTTCCAGCCTTTTCCATATTAGTTATTAACATGAGTTTGACATCAATGATTTCTAAAACAAAATTTACCTCTAATTGACACTTAAATTGACTAAAATCTTGAGACATGAGAAATGCAGCACCGTAAATGAACGTCAGCATTATATCTCCGTCTCCGTCTTTAGTAATTATCATCGATTTTGTCATATTAAGTAATTCGGGTTTGAAAGTTTTGTTCACTTTATAGGTGTACCAAATCATGAGTGGATTTTTAACAACTTGACCTTCGTAATACACTGAAATTGCTGCTATATATTTGCATTGGTCCATAGAATATCGTTGGAATGAAGTAGTTGCATTTGCTATATAACCGACTTTTTCTAATAAAGTTGACATCCCAATTTTTTCGTTATCAATTGAAATGATTTTTATATTAGAAGTGTTGAGTAAACGACTTAAAGTAAAAGTGTCATCTTCGTTTTTATAACAATTGTTATAATTTATTTGTATTAAAGCAACCGGTCTATTGACATTTATAACTTGAACTACAACTTCATTTTGAGTCACATTTAATACTACAAGACTTGGTGGAATTTGAAGTAAACAGTCACTGATAGAAACTGTTGCTTGATAGACAGAGTCTTTTATATATTTCATTTGTGATGTCCCTAACAGAAATAAACGACGTTTCAGGCCTACTAAGTTGTTACCATTCTTCTCTATTTTAACACCATAGTAATACATGTCTGCTGAACCCGCCACCATACAATGAACATTTGTCTGGCTTGGTCCTGTCACACTAAGCCACTCACCGCATCGGGTGATGTTTTGCCCATTTTTGTGGATGAAAAAAGAGGAGTGACTGAGGTAACAAACTGAATTTAAATTCAGAGCAGAAATGAGTCGTTTATTGTTGGGGATATGTTTATAACACTCTGTAACAACATTATACGTAATTTCACTTGAGTCCATATTAACTACAAGGAAATCTGTCATCCAATTCGATTTCAAAGAAGGGAGATTCAAGTTAACTGAAGACACAAAGTTAGTCAAAAAGATTACAAATATGAATATATTCATTCTTGTGTGTTTTCAAATATAAAGTTGGGTCTTTATATGAATAGGATTATCTATCTGCGAAATAGAATACATGTGACTTTCAACAATATCATCTTTCAATGAAAAATTAAGCAAAAATAACAAGGGGTACTCTGATTATATTAATAATATATTGTAATGTGTTATCTAAATTAATTAACTTTTATGATACAATAATGATAAATGTTTTGTTTAACAATTTATTATAATTCTAATGATATTGACAAACAATTTTCATTATTATTGTTTTGATAATATTTATTTATACTCAACATGAAATGTATATTTTTGGTATCACCTTTAAATGAATATAACATTTTATTCATAAAATTTGTTGTAAAAAAAATAAATAGTTTATTGTATATTTTTTTTAATTTATTTTTATTCATATAATATTTGTTTTAAATATAATTTTCTTATAAAAAAAAATAAATCGCAAAATAAAAATGTTAAAATTAATAATAATTTTTATTAAAAATTATTTGTCGTGTTTTTTATCTCCTTAGTTGTTTTTGTTTCTATTCAATAAATTAAAGTTATAAATCAATAAATAACTAAATCTTAAATCAACAAATTGTTTAATTTGCATGTTTCTGGTTGGAAAACAATTTAACTAATAATATTAATATTATTTTGTAATTATTTTCAATTTAAATAAGTGGATAAATATTGTGAATTTATTACAGTTTATATTGATAATTTTGTCAACAAAAAGTTTTTTTTGATAATATAGTCAAAGCTTGAATCATGATATGGATTTTTATCTTAAACCAGATATGTGGTTATTTATTTTTTTGATTTCTTTTAAACAATCATAAAATGGATAAAAAACAAACCATGCTTAAATTTGATTGACAAAATCTTATTTTTAAAAAAATAAAAAGTACTAAACTGTTTTTCAAAAGTCGGTACTGAGGTGTCCCGATTTTTTGCATTTATTTTGTTTATTATTTTTGGGAATCATTTTTTTGTAATAAATTCGCTTATTTTTTCCAAGTAAAAAAGAGAAAAACGGTCTTCAAAAAATATTTTTTACTTGAAGAATTTTTAAGCATTAAAAAAATCCATATAAAATTTGAAGTAACGGGATTTTTGTTTCAGAAAAACACACGAATGATCCCAAAAGTGCATTTTAGTACAAAAGCAAATAAACTTAATTTCAATCTTTTTCATTATCAAACATTTTATTATTTTATAAAATATTCACAAAACAAAAGCTTAGTTCGAAGATTAGTATGCTTCGTAGTGTTGTCACGAGAACAATAAAAATAACAAAATGATTTGATAACTTATTTTTGTTGGGTTTTATAAAGTCGACATTCTTTTTGAGCATTTCAGTGAGAACATCATTTTTAAAATATCCAATAACAAAACAATATTGTTATTTTGTATTATTTTTCTAGTGTTGCCCTTTGACAATTTTGACTTATGCCTGTCAAAATTATCAAACATTTGCTGTAATTATTTTTGGTGTTTTTTGAACTCTTTATTTCATTATTTTTTATTCAGAGAAGATAACCACAGTTTGTTTTTAATTGAAAATATTTTTTAACGAAAGTAATTATCAGTTAAAACTCGACACAAACAACACCATCCCAATTCACTTAAACGTTAATTGTTGTGCTTTTAGGTCAACAATGCTGTGTATATATTGCGAAGTTTCGAGTTGTGGGCAAATCAAATAACGGGATCGGGGTTTTTGGAAAAAGATGGCTAATATTCCGATATTTTCCCGAATTTGTACGAAAATAATTGAACGGGATTGGTATTTTTTTCAAAATAAAGTCGGTACTTTCGATTTTTTGTTTTTTGTTTTTTTAGGAAAAAACAAAAATAAAAAACGGGACTTTAGGAAGTTCTAAAAATATGACAGTACCGACTTTTGAAAAACAGTTTATATTTATGGTATTTTTAAATGTTTGTTTTTATTCTGAGCAATATTTAACACATTGTTCAATACATACGAAAGGAAAAACAAAGGGCTTGATTATATTAAAGTAAACTTAATTCTTAAATATTATTTTCTAATTATTTAAAAATATAAAAATAATTTTAAAAAATTATTTTTATATGTTTTTCATTATAAAAAACACATATTTTATTAAAAAAAATAAACAAATAAAGGATATCTTAAAAAACAAATTATCAATATCTCTGATCCCTATATTTATATTACTGTATATATACAATATTAATATATATTAATTAATATATTCAAAAAACTCAAAATATTCAGACTTGTAGGTATTAAATTTATCATTTAATTATCTGTAGTGTATAAAAGTCAATATTAAAATGTTGCATAATTATAATTGTTATTCAAATTATATTGATTTTATTTAAAATTTAAATTTATATTTACTTATTTTATTAAATAAGTTATTACATACAACCTAAATTTTTAAATAAATATAAATTTCAATTGAATTCATATTTTTCCAATTGTTTTTTCATTTCCAAATTTGCCATTTCGTACTTTTCTATAAGTGGGTAGTATAAATCACTCATATATCCTTCGCAGTCATTAGCAAACATACGAATGCCGCACTGAACAAATTCTCTTGCAATAATTTCAGCCCGGTATTTTCCCTCAAATTTTCTTCTTTTTCCCTCAAAACTGATTTCGAAGACACTGAATTGCTTTTTAACAACAGACGTTTAAAACGTCCGGTTCATTTAATTGCATCATTTCTAATTCATCCAAAGATTTATTA